TAATGTCTGGCTTCAGCAGAGGCTCACAAAAATTTGATTTGACTTCCAAAGGAAATAACTGAAAGTGAGATATCCGGAAAAGGCATGGCACGTGGATCTAGAAAAAATCTAGCCAGTGGACGAAATAAAGATTTCAGTTCAAATTGTATCACCTGAAGAAGGCCGGAGCGTTCAACGGCCGAAACGTCGTGAATAAAAAACAAACAAACAAAAAAAAAAAAAAAAATTAGTGTCTTTTTATTTCTGAGAATTACCATTTAATACTAGTGTGAATTATTACAATCAATCATCCATATTAAGAATTGTGACAAAAAGACATTCATATAATTCAAAAGTCAGTGGGAACACTATAGAAATTTGTTTTGAAAAAACAAGAATTTACAAAACAAGATAAAAAAGTTCTAAAGAGGCAGAAAATACAGAAAATCTGAGAAGGGAACAGAAGTCTCTAGACGTTAAGACTTCCAGCCGAAGAATTTTTTTACATATTACTATTGCATTATGTGTTATACTGTCTGTTATTATTATGGCATTTCATTATAGCGGTGGGCACTTGTGTCTCTTGGAAATTTGCGTCCCTAGACAAATGCGTGTCATGGATAATTTCTTACCTCTGATAATCTTTTGAAGTTACCATTTTTTTTAAAGAGTTGTTTAATATAGAAATTTGCACACAATACCTTTTTAATTACTCAAAACAAGCAGAAAAGGAGCTACAAAAATAGAAAAGAGAAAAATCTTTTTAAAGCCAAAGAAAATTAAACTAACAGTTACAGTTCACTCCAGCAATGTGTATCACAAACATCTAATAGATTCTGGATTTTATGGGATTATATTTTATTTGGGAACCTATGGCTAAGTTCCAAAATCAAACACTGGTGGAAAGATATTTATGGACGAGGAAAAAGGACAGCGAGCACTATCATGAGAAAAACGCCGATGAAACAAAAACATATTGGAGATGTGTAGAGCGATCTTGCAACACTGTTGATCTGTCATTATATTTTAAACAAAAATAAACTTTTAATTTTCCTTTTTTTATTCCTTTTTTTTTAAATTATGATTACTATCTATGATTTTTTCAAAATTTATGGTAATTGCCTTTAAATGCTTCCCAAAAATGATCAGAGGTACGCATTTGTCTAGGGATGCAAATGTTCAGGAACGCAGTCGTCCGAGACGCAAATGTTCCAGAACGCAGTCGTCCCGGACGCAAATGTTCAGGAACGCAGTCGTCCTGACGCAAATGTTCAGGAACGCAGTCGTCCCGGACGCGCAAATGTTCAGGAACGCAGTCGTCCGGGACGCAAATGTCCAGTACCAACTGTCCTAGAACCCAGAAGCTAAATCACTTCAAGACTTTCAACAGAATCAACAACTAAAATGAATAGCACTCGAAGAAGAAATAATGACATCATAAAGATGTTGACGTTCCACACTACTTCGAACAAAAGATTAGGGGCGAAACCCCATCGGTACTGGAAAGAGATATAATACATATTAGATTTTAGAAAAATATTTTGCTGAAAATTGTTTTAATAGAAAGATTTTATAAATTTCAACTGACAGTAGCACCGGCTGTTTGATCAATGAATGCCGAATGTTTTTATAAGAAATATCTATCATTATCATTACCATTAACTGTTCTAGAACCTATTATAGCACACACAGTTGCTATATTCTCCGAATGATGGCGCTAAATCGATGTAAACAAGTGGATCGCAACAAGGCTGAAGCTCACATTCCACTCCTTGGCAGACCATTTTCATGGAAGAAGCGTTAACTCCCATTAGCGATAATAATAATAATAATAATAATAATAATAATAAGAAGAAGAAGAATAAAGAGTTCAAGGAGCAAGGCCTGGAAATAATAATAATTATAATAATAATATGATTTAAAAAATCTATTAATAAAATAATAAAAAAACGAAAAATGCTTCAACTAAAATTAGTATACATTATTTACATTATTCGGACTGTTATCCCCATCTTCATTGCCATATTCACAACGTTTCGACCGTTGTACCCTCCGGCCTTCTTCGGGTGATTGGAATTTCGAACCGATATCTTTATTTCGTCCAACGGGATAGAGTGTTCTAGTTCCATGTGCCATGCCTCTTCCGGATGTCTCAGTTATTTCTCTTTAACTCAACACTCCAAGTATTTTAGTTCACCAGTGCTGTGGCCTGGTATTGAACTCACAACTCTTTGGGTCTAGTCACAGGATCTAACCAACGCTTTTATGACACTGAGTCATGTGTCCTCAAGGATAAAGGCGTTGGTTAGTGACTTGGCAGGACAAGTTCAAATAATTTAGATAATGTAAGTAATCATAATGCCTCATCTCAGAGATATAGACAGATAAAAATTAGTTATAATAAGATGGATAAAAACCAGTAAGAAGATATTAATAGAGAAGGCGTTTAATCTATAAAGCAGCAGTAATTAAATAAGTTAAAATCTGTATTAAAACAATAATAGATAAAGCGTTTAATTGAAAAAGCAACAGTATTAAGATGAATTAAAACCCAATAATAAGAGAGGAAAAGTTTTCTTAAAAAGCAATTATTATAAGATGGAATAAAACGAGTAATAAAATAAGTTCATCCTGATGGATGGTAGTTCGGTGTCAGATCGGCGATGATAGAACGTAACTAGCTTGATCTTCGAGACATTGAATGTAACTAACCAGTTTTTACCCCATTGAGTAGTTTGTATATGACCGGAAGAATGATCAGTCGCCAATCTCTGGTCATCGAGAGTTTAAAGGTTTATATAGTCGTATCGCCGATATAGATGTTTAAAAAGATCTTAGTATAATCTTAGGAAGATCATTTATGCGGACAAAAAAGAGGGCTGGTCCAAACTATCAACCTCAATGTGTTATTTAATACAGACAAGTTTTTTTTTTATTCCTGGTAATATTTTTATCTATCTATCTATCTATCTATCTAGTAATAAGCTGGTAATAATTTTTTTCTTCAAAAATTTATTGCTGGTAATAATTTTTTACAAAGTATTTCTGATATTAAAACCTATTTTTACACTTTCGTAGTGTTTTGACTCTATTTTGGGGGTTAACTATTTGCTAATTGCTGGGACCCTAGAAGGTGCTACCACCTCGAGTCAGGGTGGACCTGAGAACATCAGCAATTAAGAGTTGGTTCCATGCTCCTTATGACCTCTTAAGAAGAGGCCTTGTTGTTGGGCGTAGTATATCGTCTTACCCAGTATGCGGATGTAGTTATATCCAGGGCAGACCACAAACGGTGTAACCTAAATTCTTTCAATCTCACACAAAACGTCCCCCAATCAACATACGGACAATTGCCAGACATCTATCTGTCTATATATTAAATTCTGTGACTTTTGTCCGTCTGTCTGTCACAACCTCTAAAATAGTTATATTTTGGAGAGAAGTGCAATCAGATAAGGACGAATATGTGAAAATTTCTCGGACATTCAGGCCGGAAAAATTTTGTTTAATACTGTTTATTATAAAACAGAAAATATATCTTACTGTTCTTTCTCTTTATTATAATATATATATATATATATACATACATACATATATATTTATTTATATATATATATATATATATATATATATATATATATATATATAAATATAGTTTTAGTATTATGGTGCTATATTTATTTGATAAAGTGCTCAATTCAATATAGATAGAGCGTATATAAATATAAATATAAAAGTGGACATCGAAGTCATTGCTTAGAGGCGACAGACTGTTTCATGCTAGACGCAATCGCAAGGCGGACTGACGATTGCGCCTAGCATCAAACAGCCTATCGCCACTGAGTGTTGA